CTTCGTGACGATGTCGACTGTGGAGTGCCGCGCCTGCGGGATTTCCGCGGAGCGCAGGGGTCGTGGGCGGAGGCGTCGTTGGAGTGGTTAAAGAAAGGCATGCCATGTGAAGAAACGAGGAGGTACGTGCAGAACTACATGGGCGTTGTGGACTTGCGACCAGTCACGGAGGAAGTTCTCGTGAAGCACGAGGACGAGCGAGCTTTGCAGCGATGAGGAACTGGATCTGGTAATTGTCGATGCGGCGACAAGGCGGAAGACGCGCGTGGGAGGTGCGTCCATGGAGAAAGAGGGCAGGCGGACAAATGCAGTTGCGGAGTGCGAGAAAGAGAAAAGTCGAGAGCCCATGGCAAGGGGCGGCGCCGTGTGGGGCGAGAGTGCAAGTCGCAAGAACGGAAAGCGCAAGAGGCGCGGAGGGGGCGGCGTGCTGCGGTGGGACGACGCGGTAGTCAAGGGGGCGCAAGCGGTGGCCGCGGCGTCGAGGGCCGCAGGGGGCAGCGGCGCAGGTGAAACGGAGGGTGCTCCAGTTGTGGTGGCGGCGAGAAAAGCAACGGCGTCAAGTGTGCGGAAGTGGAGAAGCGGGCTTCTGGAGAGCGGGTTGAACGCGGGGCAGCGTAGCGTCGTCGAGAAGGTGGCAGATCGAGTGTTGGCGCAAGAGTTCGCGGGTTCCGCGAGGTGCAAGACATCAGGCCAGAGTCGTTCTAACGTGCAGCCCTTCGTGTGGATGTTGCATGGCGGCCCAGGGGCGGGGGGGGTTCCGCGATGGGCAAGATCCGGAAAGAGCTATTCGAGAAAGAGCTGGGGTGGACGCACGGCATAGATTTCCATGTAGAAGCGTTGCAGGCTACAAACGCCGCAGCGCTCTTCGGGAACACAATTCACGGTGCTTTTGGGCTCGGTGTGAACAAGACGAAAGAGTCGAATGCGGCGGGCGATGCGAGCGCAGGCGCGAAAAAGCAAAACGAAGAAAGGAAAAGCCGCGCAGCGTATGTCACAGTGGAAATGGCTGATAGTGGACGAGGTGAGCATGGTCAGCGCGAACGTCATTGCAGAGCTGGACTCGCACTTGCGGTCGTGCATATCAGCTGCAAGTGACGCGAAGATAGGTGGGGGCGGCGTGGCCAGGCCCTTCGGGGGCGTGAATGTGTTGTTCTGCGGGGATTTCTATCACTTGGAGCCCCCGTCGGAGACAGCCATTAAAGCGCTTCCCACGTCATGTCTGAAAAAACGCGAGGAAGTGCGCGCCGGGTGCCTCGGAGGACCACGGGCAGTATATATTTTGGGGCGCTGGGGGCGAAGGGGCAATGCAGGGGATGACAGAGTTGACGGAGTGCAAGCGCGCGGAGGACCAAGACGACTGGTTTCTCGCTGTGCAGGGCGAGTTCCGCCGAGGAGCGTTGTTTGAACGCGCGCGCAATTTTTTTTCCTTGGCAGACCGACGGACGTGCTGGGGTCGCGGGTGAACGGTGCACCTTTGTGCGGGAACGGCCATTGCGTGACAGACGCAGAGGCAATTGCGAAGCAAAGCGGGCTAGAGTGTGAGGAATGCAAAGTTGAACGTGAGAAGAGAAAGCTGGTCGCGACGTCGCCAGAAGACGTTCGACTTCGGAAGGAAAAGTTCATGGAAGCCGTCGCCATTTATGCGAATCAGGACATTCGGTGCCACGTCGGGAAGCAGAGAGCTGTGCAGTGGGCCGAGGGGCGAGGAGAACAGCTGCTCTGGGTCGCAGCCAGAGACCGCGCTGACCACGGGGGGGAACAGAGGCGGCCGTGCACCGTGGAGGATACGTTGGCCGGGGTACCACGAGAAGGAGTGCGCAAGCTTGCCCGGTGGCTGCCGCTGGCCAAGGGACTGCCCGTGGCTTTGGGAGGTCACTTGGACCGGTCGAAGAAACAGCTTCTGAGGGCGCGCGCAGCGACGATCCATGGATGGGCGTTGCACGAGAACGAGGTCTTGGGAGATGAAGACGAGGAATTATTGTTGCATCTACCGAAGGTGATTGTGTTGGACTTCCACGCTAAGGAGTGGCACCTGCCAGGCTGGGGGCCAGGCCTGTATCCGATCTTCCCATCGAAAGGGCGAAATTGGTTCTTGGACGGGTGTCGGAAGCATCCTGTCTTGAGTGTGAAACGCGCCCAGTTCATGATAGCCCCGGCTTTGACAGTGACGGCGCGCTCTGCGCGGGGCCGGGCCTTGGGGGCGGTGATAGCGGACCTGGAAAGAGGGCGCGGCGTGAGATGGATGTCAAGTTACGTTGCCATCGCGCGCGTGCGCAGGCGAGAGACCGTGCTGATCTTCCGGCCTTTTGATGGGGCGCCGTGCAGCGCAGGTGAGATGGCGGGTGCGAAAAATATTGCAGGTGCTACGAGGGGAGAGCGTGGATTGGGATGAATGGGAGGCGGAACTGATGCCAAGTGACCGGTGCGAGCACTGCCGGCGGAGTTTGTTGGTAGAGGCGTTCACGAAGTGCGAGTTCCAAATGAAGGAAAGGCCAGCGTTCTGCAAAGAGTGCGCGGAAGAGATCAAGAACGCCGACGAGAAATGGTGCGCGACGTGCAGGGGGTGGGCAACGAGAGCGAAGGGTGACGATGCGACTCGACATGGTAGCGGTCGGAACGCGGATGCGGCGGCCGACGACGGGGAGACGAAAAGGATTAGGACAACGTATTGCGCGAAGTGCAGCCATGTCAAAGCCAAGCAGAAGTCGCGGAGCGGCAACGCGAGGTGGAACGAGAGTGTCGGCAAAGTGCGGTGTTCGAAAGACAAGTGTCGCTCCCCTTTCGAAGAAAGGGCGGACATGTCGGAAGCTCAGAAGAAGCACAGGGAAGCAGGGGTGAGACGCAGAGGCGCGGGACGCGTTGACGCGAGAAGCAAACAACCGCAAGCGGAAAGCAGAGGCGGAAGCGGAGCCGCTGACGTGCTGTGCGCCCAGTTGCGGGGGTGTCCTTCTGGGGTGAAGGGCCACCGGACCACGACATTGGGCAAGGGTGGTGTGTGGAAGCTGTGATAAGCGGGGCATCGCCGCGAAAGGTGTGGCCGATGAGTCGAAACGGTTGAAGCGACCGCTGGTGCGTGCAGCGCGCAAGAAAGAGTTCGCTCGGCAGCAGCGCATGAGTGCCAGACAAGAGAGCGAACATTTCACAAGGAAGAGTAAGGTTGTATGCGCGGAGTGCATTGCAGTCGGCGTCGCGGTTCGCAATGCGGAAGCGTACGAGTGCTTCGGCGCCTGCAAGAGAAAGCTCCCGAAGTCGAAGTTCACGGTTGGACCGAATTTCGCGCGTGCCCTGGAAAGACGCACGTTGAAGTGCAAGGCGTGCGCGTGAGATCCACGGAAGCGCTTGAGACAGCGCGCGAATGTTGGGGACGGGAGGGGGGGCAGGAAAGGGCGGGAGGGATTGAGGGGCGCTGTTGGTTTGACTTGGGGGCCCCTTGAGAGTTTCTTGGGTCGTCTTGGGGCGGTGCTGGAGGCCTCGTGGGCGGTCGTGAGCGCCGTGGTCGCCGAAGAGTCATTATGCTACAGAATGCGTTGCCCTAGCGGGTGTCGACGATGTTAACGTCTTTGTGGCTCGCGGGCCTCTTGGAGTCAGTTTGGGCGCTTTTTGGCTGCCGTTTTTGGGCCTTCTTTTGGGCTTCTAGTGGGCTTCTGGGGGCCTCTTGGAAGCCTCTTGGGGCCTCTAGGGGACATAGTATAGTGGGCCCTCCCGGGAGCGTCTGCAGGCGGAGGGCTCGGATTTCTGCTTCGGGCTCCCCCTCTTGGGCCCCTTTTGGCGCCCTCTTGGGCCCTCTTGGGCGCCTTTTGGGCCGTCTTGGCGCCCTCTTGGGCCGTCTTGGGGCCCTCTTGGGAACTTCTTGGGCCCTCCTGGGGCGGTTTTGGCGGCCTCGTGAGCAGTTTTCCCACGCAGTCAAGGCTGGGGAGTCGCGCGTGCACAAAAAATGTGTGGTTTCCAATGGGAATGGGGCGATTTTGGCCTCGCAGGTCTTTCTTCGCAAGCCTGTTGGAGGCCTCTTGGAGCGTCTTGGCGCCTTCTTGGGCCGTCTGGGGCCCATCTCGGGCGTCTTGTAGCGATCATTCGGCGACTTTGTGCACTCTTGGGCCGTCTTGGGGGCGTCTGGACAGGCTCCAAGCCGAGCCTGGGGAGCCCAGGCCGAGCTGGGTGAGTTCAGCGGAAGGTCGTCCGCGGCCAGGGGGGGGTCAAATTGGTGGTTTTGGGTCCGGGGGGGGGCTTATGGGGGGGAACAATCTCACGCGCCTAGAGACCCACAAGGGGTCGGCGGCTTTCTGCCTCTTCGGGTCCTCCTGGGACGTCTCTTGGAGGCCTCTCAGAGCGTCTTGGGGACATCTTGGGCCAAGCCGTCCTGGGTGTTGTGGGCCGATCGTGCGGCGATTCGGGGCCCCCTTGGAGGGGCCCCTTGGGCCCCTTTGGGCCCGTCTGGAGCCGTCGTGGCCCCGCAGAAGTCACGTGACAAGAGGCCGAGAACTTTAAGGGGCACGCGGGGGGCCCCAAGAGACTTGGCAGTTTCGGGTCTGGGCCCCCGAAAGAACTCCTCAGGACAGAGGACTGAATTTCAATGGGGAACAGGACAAGGACCCAAGGTCACTCCAATTCGTGCCTCAAGGGCGCGGCAGCGGGTACTATTTCAAGTGGCGCGGCACAGTCCGAAGCGGACAAACACTGATTACATTCCACGTCGCCAGGATCGCCCCAAATGTATTGCATCAGGTCCCATTACCAAGCCCGAGAGAGCTCCATAATCGCCCTGCGTTCCTCCACGGACAACTTGCGATGCGCGCTCTTGGGGCGCGGCTCGAGCCTCAGCGCGCGCGCAGTTCTGGTCTTATACCCCGATGACCCTGGGGGGCCGCAGAAGCTCCGGGCCATCTTAGGTCCCTCAGGCATTAAACATGTGCCTAAATATTCCTCGTATCAACTTTTCTAACCGCTTGTGTCTACTCTAGGCAGGTGCCTTCTGCGCACCTCTGGCCTGCTGGCCCCGCCAGGCAGTGGAGGGGATCTCCGCCGTCTCCACCGGGCCCATCCTCGTGCAGCAGGCGCCCCCTCGCCGCCACCACCGATGCTGTGCCGCAGGGCAACATCGTGGGACGCTCATGCCAGACGGTGGCGGTGACGACGACGAGCGACCGACCGACGACTGACGAGCCGACGACTGACGAACGACCCACCGACGAACGGCCGACGAACGCCCGTCCGACTAACGACCCACCTACTCACGACTGACTGACCGACCCACCCACCGACCGACGAACCACCGGCCGACGAACCACCGACCGACGACCGACGAACCACTGACCGACGACCGACGAACCACCGACCGACGACCCACCGACCGATCGACGACTGACCGACCGACGACAGTCGACCGGCGGAGCGCGCCGCGCCAGGTGACGCTCGCGGCCCCCGCGGAGCCGGCGGGCGGCGGCACGCCGGGACCGCAGTGGCTGGCGGCGGACGCGGCGGCTGGGTTGACCAGCGCGGGCGGCCTCGAGGCAGCGGCTCGGGCGCCCCTCGGTCCGTCGTCCGTCGTCCGTCGTCCGTCGCAGTCGACGTCGTCCGTCGTCCGTTGTCCGTCGTCCACCGTCCTTCCATCCGTTGTCCGGTCGTCGTTGTCGTCGTCGTCGGTGGTCGGTTGCTCGTCGGGAAGGGGGGAAGGGAGATATCCTCCTCCTCCTCCTCCTCTCCCTCTTCGTCCCTCTTCCTCCTCCTCCTCCTCCTCCTCCTTCTCCTCCTCCTCCTCCTCCTTCTCCTCTTCCCAGGCCGAGGCAATGCCATGCTGGACTTTTGGAGGCGAAAACTTAGTATAACGGAGTCTTCTCTGCAGTGCTCCTCGGAGGGTTTTTGCGGAGTATAATGCAGGGCTCATCGCTGGGGCCACTGGCAGCGGAGTCTGGAGCCCAGAAGGTTATGACATTCTGGAGTTAGAGTCAAAGCGCTCTCGTTGCCAAAAACTGTATGCCGCCAAGCAGTGAACGAAGTCGAAGGAGCGGGCGAAGAAATCTGGCATCGGTGGAGACAAGGTGGCTCACTCGTTTTCGAAGCTGCAGGTCGTACGTGTCGGTGCCCACTCCAGCAGCCCAGATGTGCTTCCGGTGGCTGGTCAGGCCGCTCTTGCTCTGCTTCTGGACACCTGACATCCCATGTGGTTGAAGGCCAGGCGCGGCCCACATCCTTCGTCTTGGACTGTCCCGCCAGACGAAGCCGACCTTCCCCGCTGAGGATCGAGGATCTATTCAAAGTATGCAGGGTGTACGGTTTCACGTCTGGCCTGGGTTGGCACGGCTTCCATCCGCGGTGGGTTCTTCACTCGCCTGAAAGCCGTCAGTTCCGCCCTTTGTAAGAAATTTCACGTGATTCGAGGTCGATCCTGGGGCCTTCCTGATGTTTCTCACTAACGTGCTTTTTGTGGATGAGCCGTCTGGAGGGGTTCGGCCCATTGTCTTATTGCGCTTCTTTCTGAAGCTCTGGAGTCGTTTGCGTCAACCGTATTGCCGTGTTTGGGAGAAATCCAGTGCCTGCGAGTTTCGTGGGGCTCGGCTCCAGAGACTACGTGCGAGAGGGCTGGCTGGGTTCACGACCACTTGGGGGCTCGCTGTCGCCAGGCTGGCTTCACGTTAGCATCGGCCCTGCTTGATTTTGCAAAGTTTATCGAAATATTTCCAATGGCCACCTCTTGGACGCGGCGGAGAGGTTCGGAATCCAGGTGAGACTTATTCGTGGGTGCCGCACGATTTATGCCGGCATGCGTGTGCTGTGTCGGAAGTAGTCGAAGGTAACGATACCATTATAGCTGGTTGCACGGGGGCCACCATGTTTGCCAACATGCTCCCTCTGGGGCCTATTTTGGAAGCGCGCGAGAACGGGCACCTTTTGTACGTGCGCAATGTTGTAGACGACGTCAACATGCAGAGTCGTGGCCCTTGCGTCCAGGTAGCCCACCAACTTTCGGGTGGAGTTGAGTCCTTGTTGAAGTCGTTTGCGCAGCTGGACCTGCCAGTTGAGTATAAGAAGTTTGGTTACCTCTGTACTCGGGAGGTCGAGGCGCATCGCAGCGACTTGTGGAGCCTGCCCAAGTCGTGCAGGACGGATACTGGTAGGAGTCTTGGTACGAAAGCTACGTTAGTAGGAGTTCGCAGAGTGGGAATTCAGATTGCCCGCCTCGCGAGGGCGTCGTCTCTTGCCAGGAGGTTGCAGATTCTGCAAGGAGCTGGCATAAGCCACTGTACGGGGCTCATAGCGTCAGCCCTTTGGGGCTCGAGTGTTTCGGGGATGGCGCCTACAAAGATGGCGTGTCAACGAATCCCGGCTGTGAGCTCCCTGGGCAGGCTTCCTCAAGGTGCTTCAGTGGGGCTCCGCATATACACCCGCAGGCTTGGGCCCCTCGTTTTTCACGCTTGGCGTGTGCTTACTATGTGGGCTACTGTCTGGGAAGCTGTTCCGAACGCTCAACTTTTGTCTGGCGCCGTGCAGCATGCGGTGGCCAAGTTCAAGGTCTCTGTGCATCCATGGAGGTCGGCTACCTACCCAGCAGATGTGGCGCTGCTGACCCTGAGGCCTGGGCTTGGACTTTGGCGGCGACCAACAGCACATTCGTGGCGGATCTGTAAGATGAGGTCAACTTGCGTCACCTCGCCCCGATGCAGGTGGGAGCCGTGGGGGCGTACGACAGGGGAGCCGTGGGGGCGTACGACAGGCACGGTTTGAACCTGCAGTGCGGCCTTCATGGGCCCCCAGCTTTCCCGATGGGTGTTCAAAGCTCAGAGTTCTTCGAGGGGTGAGCAACATCAGAGATGTCTTCGAGAACTTGTTTCGGGTGTGTACTGGCCTCAGGCGCGTCTGTTCGCCCACGTTCTGCATGCGGAAGAGTGAGCGCCAGGCACCATTTGGCACTGTCAATATGAATGTCCAGCGCACGATGTGCTTTGGCGGGGCCGTCGAGCGCCAGGGTGATAGCGCGTGGGAGGAGAGCGAAGGAGTTCGGCCCGTTGATGGCAGAGATGCATTTTTCCCGACCCGCGTTCGTGGTTTGCGCGCCAGGGCCCAGGGCCCCGTCGATGTGGTCGTCTGCCGCAATCGTCCTTTTCCAGGGGGTCCTCTCAAGGCCCCCGTCCCTGGACGGGTTGGCCAAGTTCATGGACGAGTTCATTCGGGCTGGGTGGGCGATGGTTTCTGTGGGCAGGTTCGCGCAGTGAGTTCCAGCAGCAGTTGGGCCTGGTTCTTTGAGTGTAGGCTGGCAGCAGTGTGGCCACGCAGCAAACTTGAAACGCCGGGGAAGACTACACATGTATGTATGTCTGTCTGTCTGTATGTATGTATGTATATATGTCTGTATTCATGTAAGCATGTATGCATGTATGCATGACTGCATGAACGTCTGTATGCAGGCGTGTACGTATGTATGTATGTAGGTAGGTCGGTGGGTATATCGGTAGGTATTGATATATGTATGTGCATATATATTTATATATATACATATATATATGCACGTGTAGCATGTATGCATGCGTGCACGTCTGTAGGTAAGTTGCATGCATGCGTGCAGGGATGTATGTATATAAGTCTGTATGCATGCATGTGTGTATGTGCGTGCGTATTCATGTACGTATGTATGTACGTGCGTGTGGACGTATACATACATACACACATACATACATACATACATACATACATACACACACATGTAACACAGCCAGTACTTACACACATTCATGCACATTTACATACATACAGACATGCACACATACACGCATCCATACATGCATCCATACACACATCCTTACATACGTAATACAACCAAACACACGTACACACACTCGAGCAATCACACATACTGACCACATACTAAATGCGTGCATCCATACATCCACACACACATACATATCTACACATACATGCATACACACGCACACACATCCACACATACATACACCTATACATCTTTATATTTATATGTATATACATATAAATATGTATACATGCATGCACACGCATCTACATATATACATACACATGTTCAGTACGTGTTCATATACACATACATATGCATACACTTGCGAACATACACATGCATGTATACATATGCACATACACATGTATATACACTTAAACATATACATATACGTGTACACATACACATCCATGTACACATACACATACATGTACAGTGTGTATATGTGTATATATATACATCCATATTTACATGCATCCATCCATCCATCCATACATAACAACCATACAGCCATACATACATGTATGTATACGTTTATATATATATATACATCTATATATATATGTATGTATGTATGTATATGTATATATATATATATATATATATATATTCGCATCAAGATAGTATACACATCGGAGGTTGGGGGGTGAGATCGAAGTGGAACGGAGAGCCCCCCTACCGGGAAATCGATTTCGGTTTCGTGTTCGTGCGTGCCGTGCGGGCGAGGCGAAGCTGCGTGGGCGGGCGAGAGAAAGTCTCCTGTGGCTGAGGCGCGGCCGGACCCAATGATTCCCTTCCGGGCGGCCGGGGCCCCGCGGTGTCCCGCCAGTGCCCCGCTGATGTCCCGTGTGGCTGAGGCGCGGCCGGACCAAATGATTCCCTTCCGGGCGGCCGGGGCCCCGCGGTGTCCCGCCGGTGTCCCGCGGTGTCTCGCGGTGTCCCGCGGTGTCCCGCAGTGTCCCGCGATGTCCCGCCGGTGTCCCGCGGTGTCCCGCGAGGATGATGATGATGATGATGAGATGATGATGATGATGATGATGATGATGATGATGATGATGATGATGATGATGGTGATGATGAGATGATGATGATGGTGTCCCGATGAAGATGATGATGTTGATGATGGTGTCGATGATGATGATAGTGTCCCGATGATGTGGATGATGATGCTCATGATGATTCTGTTGATGATGATGACGACGATGGTGTCCCGGTGATGATGATGATGATGATTCTAATGATGTTGGTGATGATGATGTTGATGGAACTGGTGTCCCAGCGATAATGATGTTGATGATGATGATGTTGATGATGATTATGGTGTCCCGATGACGATGCTGATGATGATGATGATGGTTATGATGATGATGGTGATGCTGATGGTGTCTCGATGATGATAACAATGATAATGACGATGTTGATGATGATGTTGCTCATGATGATGATGGTGCCCCAATGATGATGTTGATGATGATGCGATGATCATGATGATGATGGTGTCCCGAGGATGATGACGATGTTGATGATAATGTTGATGATGAGAACGATGGTGATCATGATGGTTGCCCGATTATGATGATGATGATTCTGATGATGCTGCTGATGATGATAACGATGACTGTGCCCCGATGATGATGATGTTGATGATGAGATGATGATGGTGATGGTGATGATGATGTTGTCCCGATGATGGTGCTGACGTTGATGATGATGATGTTTATGATGATGATGATGACTGTGCCCTCATGATAATGACGATGTTGGTGATGATGTTGAGGTTGATGATGTTGTTGATGATGATGATGATGATGATGATGATGGTGGTGATGATGATGATGACGTTGACTGTGAAAGCGATTGTGATATCGATAGTGAGATCGATATTGAGACCGAATGTGAGATCGATTGTGTGATCGATTGTGAGATCGATTGTGAGATCGATCGAATGAGATAGATCGAGTGAGATTGATCAAGTGAGATCGATCGAGCGAGACCGATAGTGAGATCGATACTGAGATCGATAGTGAGACCGATTGAGTGAGACGTTGGTTCCCCCCCCCCCCGAACCTCCTTATCACCCGAAGGGTGGTCGTATAGGTATACATGTATATATACATATATAAACATCAACAAGTGCGCCCCCCCTCCCCCGGGAGCGTCCCACACCTCCATAACATCTAGGGGACGCGCTGCCAGGCCTCCCAGGGAGGCCCCCAAACGCCCCAGGACGGCCCAAGGTGCCTCCAAAGAGCCCCCAGAACGCAGGAGTATCCGACGCGTTTTTTTGTTTTGTTTTTCCTCTTCTTTCCAGAGCCCTAGTCAGTGCCTGTGTCAATGGCATCACATGCCTCGAGTCTACATCCTTTGCTGCTGTGCTGTCGTGAGTGTGTAATTTTGGCCAGGGAGGAGGTCCCGCCGCCGCCCCTCCCTCTCCAAGATAGATTTGTTTGCACGAGTGGAGCGGACCTTCGCTTCAGAATTCTGTGAGCTCTTTGAGCAGCTTCTTCTATGGACGCTGGGGCACAGCGCTTGAGATAATACAACTGGCCGCACCGCCCGTGAGAAAAAGGGGGCCCGTGCCACTGTGCCCCGAAGCTCCCCGTGGCTCCGCGGGGAGAGAGCTGACGGTTGTCTCGCACGCTCGTAAGGCAGAGGCTATTAGTGCGTGCACGTCTTGCTTCAGCCTGCTTCCGTAGCGTGTGTGGCTCCCACCCTCTTTCTTTTGCGCTGTTCTTTCTTTTCTCGTGGAGCAGTTTGCGCTTCAGAATTCTGTGAGTTGTTTGAGCAGTTTCCTTTATGGATGCTGGGACACAACGCTTGAGATACTACAAGTGGCCGCACCGCCCGTGAGACAAAGGAGGCCCCTGTTTCTGTGCCCCGAGGCTCCCCGTGGTTCCGTGGCGAGAGAGCTGACAGTTGTCTCACACGCTCGTAAGGCTGAGGCTCACGATGATGATGCTGCTGATTCTAATGATGATGCTGATGATGATGATGGTTGTGGTGGTGGTTGGGGTGGTTTCAGTGACCATGGTGATAATGATGAGGGTTGTGGTGATGTTGATGGTGGTGGTGGTGATGGTGATGATGGTGATGATGAGGATGGTGAGGATGATGAGGATGATGAGGACGAGGAGGAAACGGATTTGCCGCCCTCGCTTATCCCCTCTCCCTATTCCTCTCTTGTTCCTCTCTCCTCCCTTGTCCTTTTGTTCCCTCGCCCATCAATATACTTCTTCTTCTACTTTGATTCCATTCGTCGTACTCCTTCCCTTCTTTCCTTTTCGTCGTCGTCTTTCTCTTCTTCCTCCTTTTCCACCTTGTCCTTCCCCTGCCTCCCCCTCCCTCTCCTCCCCCCCCACTCCCCCTCCTCCCTCGTTGTCGCCGTCGTCGTTGTCGTCGCCGTCGTCGTCGTTTCCGCCGTTCCCGTGCCTTATGAATAGTTTCTCCCTGTCGCACCCCGAGGCCAGTCTGAAGGGCGGTCCGCTCGTTTCCCTCTGAGATTTCCTCAGATTTTTAAGTTCCTGAAGCTCAGAATTTGCACCACTTTCACGGGTGTAGGGGGTTGCTTTAAAAATGTGTTTTTCGCCTCAGCGCCGCGCGCATCCGTTTTACCACTATTGGGAAGAGTTTCGCGGACGGAAGAAAATGTGGCTCTCGCCTTAACGCCCCGCGCATTCATTTTAAACAATTCATGAGTTTCACGGATGGAGGGCGGTTCCTTTTCAAATTGTGGCTCTCGCCTTAGCGTCGCGCGCGTTCGATTTCAGAGTTTACAGCAGCTATTCAAGGATTCTCATGGCTAGCATCCCAGGAATGGTGTTTTGGCACAGTGTCTGACTGCCAGGGCGCAGCACTTACGGTGATAAGTGGTGTTGAAATTTCTGGAATGGTGTTCTGGCGCGGTTCACGATCGCCAAAACGCAGTCGTAACGGTGATTCGTGGGGCTGAAGTCCCAGGAATAACATAAAACACAGTTTGCACAGTACAGGGTTTTCAATCGGTTGTTTTCCAATGGGGCGCTGCCTTCAGTGAAAATGAACTCGTGTAGGGTCCTATGAAGATGGAACTTGGAGGGAGGGTTCATTTCAATATCGTTGATGGGTCTGGTGTTTACAAGGGTCCCTCCCTGTTTCTCCCCCATCCTCCTTTTTCTCCTCAGCCTCCTTCTCCTCCTCCCCCTCTCGCTTACCTCCCTTTCCCTTCCCTTCCACACTCCCAGCTGTGCGTCACGGGATCCTCGACTGCTCGCGTGGATCCGCCCCCCCGACCCCCCCCATTCCCCTTGCGTTGTGCTGTTTGGTTTCAGGGCGGACCCCGGAGGTCACCGGCTCCGCGCCCCGAGTTGACATGGACGGCTCCAGGGCCCACGGGGGCCCCCCCGAGGCAGAAAATGGCGAAAGATCTTCCGCCGTGTGACCGCCCTCGCTGCTGACCATCAGGTGAGCTTTTGTCTTGTTCCCTGGCGATAGCGGGCATGACCCGGGCGGGGGTGGAGGGGGACGGTCACGTCGCGATTCTCGCAGCCGCCATCTGGGAATGCTTAGAATTGGGTAACTCCACGCGGCGCATACGCGAATCGTGACGTGACCAGGGGGGGAAGGGGGCGGGGGGTGGTGCAGGGCTGGTCACGGGCTTTATCGCGAATAACTGAACAATGGTCTTTGTTTTTTTTGGTAACCCCCGAGCGTGTGTGTGCCCTCTTCGGCTCCGCCGATAGCGCGCGGCCCGTGTCGGCTTTCATCTCGATGCGCTCGTCGCTCTGAAGGGCTTTGGTGGGCGAGCGCACGTTGGCGCTGACAGGCGTTCTGAGGACCATCGTTTGTTTTTGTTTTTTTCCAAGGCGCGAGGGGGGTCTGTGCCTCTCTATCCTCGGCAGGCTGCACCCTCCCCTCGTCTCTCGGCGCCGCGCTCCGCCCTCTCGCCGCACAGGGGGCCTGGTGGACCCGCGGGGCCGCCGTGTCCCTGTGGCTGGTGGTGCTGCTACACCTCCTGGTGGCCTGGTGGGCCAGGCCGCGCTGCTGCTGTGCCTACTCCTCCTCCAACTCCTGCTCCTCCTGCTCCTCCTCCTTTCTCCTGCTCCTCCTCCTTCTTGCGCAGGGCTATCGGGCGTTCCCAGCCCGCGCCGCCGCACCCTCGCGCGCGCGCGCACGCCGCGCGCGTCTGCCTCGGGATGCAGGGCGGTTAGGCGGCCTCCCCCTTATTCCCTCTCTTCTGAATTAGGGTCCCCCGGTGGACTGGGAGGCCCCCGCGCCTCCACCTCCTTCCCTCCTCCTCCTCCTCCTCCTCCTCCTCCTCCTCCTCCTCCTCCTGCTGGGGATCTAGTGGCAATCGTGCCGTCCTGACGCTGCCATCCCCCCCTCCCCAGGGGCCGTTGCCCCTGAGGTATCTGTAAGACACCAAACAGAGAAGCGAGCCGAAAGATCCCTCCAGGGGCGGGGTATCCAAGTCCCCCCTGCGCCCTGGGAGTGTGTGGAGAGGGAGGACGGCACGCGAGCAGGATACCATGGCGAGGGGAGAAGGAGGGGGAGGTCGTAACGGCAAGCGTTGGCAGGGAGGCGGCCGTTGTAAGGAAGAGGTGCTAGCATTCAGCTTGGCGGTGGAAGCGGCTCTCGAGGCGAAGTGAGGTCGTGGCGAGACTGGCTTGCGGTGCGCGCTTGTGGCCGTTGTGGCCAGGCCACTCTCGCCCAACGAAGTGCGCCAAGGCCTCCTCTTATCCGCAGGACGGCCTACGGCCTCCCCAAGGGGGTCCTCGCCCGCCGAGGCAGGCGAAGGGCTCCCGAGGGAGGCTTGGGTGGCCGCCTGGGCGCTTCCGCCGGGCGTGGGGGGAGGTTTGCGCCCTTCGCGGCGGCGGCCGTGTGTGGCCAGGCGGCCGAGTTGTGCCAGCTGCCGCCCTGGCCAGTGCCAGGACAACCAGCGGCTAGTGACCCTTCCGCCCCCCCACACGGAGTCCCACCCCCAGTCCCCGCAGCTCGGCGAAGGGGCCAGTGGTAAGGTTGTGGCAAGAGTGGCGGCTGTTGCATTTGGTCAGCACAGATGCGTGAGGTAAGAGTGGCAAGTACACGAGCTCAGCACATGGGCGCGGATGGAAGAAGAGTGGTGTGCGGTTCGCCTTCTGGCGGATTGCGCAAAATCTGCATATGGAGGAGTTGGGAGGGAACAGGTAACTAGGGCGTTACGTTGCTGTGGGAAGCAGCGGGGTGCTAGTGAAGTACAGGGCTGTCATTGCTACTTGCCGCGGTTGCCTGGCCTTCGCCATGTCAGCCAGCGGTGCTGTTGCTTCCCTCACCCACCTACTATGTAACACCGCCCACTTCCGCCACCACAAGAGTAGGAGGGAGAAGGTTAGCGGGCTGAGCGGCGGGGGAGACAGGTTACAGGCAGGTGGAGCCAGGACCACTGGGAAGCCGGCTCTTCGTGCTGTCGCCCCCGAAGCCGCAGCAGTGCTGGTGATTAAGGCCACCACCAGGGAGGTGCACGATAGTGCTCTGCCCTCGGGTCTGTGGAAAAATGTGGCCCACCCCATTTCATGTGATATGAAGGTGGCACCTGTGGGTGAAACAGCGCGGCGGGTTTTAGATCTCAGTGTTAACGCGGACCCACTAGCGTATCGCTGGCGTGTGGGTGAGAAAGGTCACGGCGGGTTGTGGAGCCTTATATGACCGTGGACCCACTGCATAGCACATCTGTCGTCGATGTAGGCGCCGTGTGGTGCCATGAAACGTCGGTCGATCCTCAGTGGGTGAGAAAACCACGGAGGGTTGTGAAGCCTTGTTTTACCGTGGACCTATTAGCATAGCGTTGGCCTGTGGGTGAGAAAACCACGGCTGCTTTCGGAGCCTTGTGTGACCGTGTACCCACTGCACATCATATCCGTTGAGGGTGTAGGCGCCGTCGTGGAGCCACGAACCGTCGGATGATCCTGTGCGGGTGAGAATGCCACGGCGGGTTTCGGAGCCTTGTGTTACCGTGGACCCACTATCTTCGCGCCTGTCGAGGTTGTCGTCGTCGCCGTGTGTTCGGGTGCAGTGCTGCTGTCTCTCTGAGGTAAGGTGGGAGTGCTGTCGTGTGCCGTGTGAGTCGGTGATCCAGCTGCTTCTGCCGCCGCTGCTGCTGCTGCTGCTGCTGCTGTCGTAGCATTGAGTGCGGTTATTTGGTGCAAGGACAGTGCCGTGGTCAGGTGTGCGGTAAGGGACAGCTGGTGGCACCCTAGGCTGCCAGGAGCAACATTGGGTGGTTTGAGCTGTCGGTCGCTGGGAACACAAATGGTGAAGAGCAAGTGACTCACAGGCGGGCCTCCGCAAGGCAGGTCCCGTCACGGTATGAGTGTGGTGTTCGCCTCTTAACCAGTCGGTTGTGGAGAGAGTAGGATTGGTTGTGTGCGTTCGTTTCCAGATTGAGGGTGGGCTGGGCGTCGTGCTGCCATCAACCATGCTGTCGGCGGGATCGATGCGGGGTTGTCCGCATCATGCGCAGTTTCTGGTTGGTCGAGTCCTCCTCCTCTTCCTCCGCTTCCTCCTTCTCCTCCTTCTCCTCCTCCTGCTGGGCCATGCCGCGCTCGTCGTCGGCGACTGGCGACGACGATCGGCGATCAACGATCAACGACGTCGATCGACGTTGATCGACAATCGACGATTGACGGGGATCGAAGATCGAAGGCGGCCTCCCCTGGTGGCTCCCAGAGGTTCCCAGGCGGTCCATGGATGTCTTCGGAGGCCTCCACAGGTTCCCCCCCGCCCCCCAGGATGGCCAAAATTCAAGAGGGAAAACACACACAGACCCAAACAATAGTCGAATCCCAGGAAAGTATGGGAAATATGTGGAGTGGATGGGGAGGGGAAATCCTGGGATTTGTTTCTGTTTATTGAATCGCTTCGCTCATTCCGCCGGCCCGTGATATGGCATCGCTGGTTTTTGTCTGTGTGTTCGTTGCCCATGTTGCGCTCTTGGGGGCGGGTGTCGTTCGGACGCGTTGCGTGGGGAGTTTTGATGGTGAAGCAGTTCCCTGGGGGTCGTCTCTCGATGGGGCGAAATAGAGTCGTCGTCAAGATGCTTCTTTGGGGGGCCTCTTGGGGTCTGTTGAGAGGCCGTTCGGGGGCGCCTGGGAGACATGTTTGAAGCCTTCTGGGGCTTCTTTTGGGCCTCCTGGGAGTCTCCTGGGGCCTCTTGGCGACATCTTGGGGCCTCTTGGAGGCCTCTTGGGGCCTCTTTGGGACCTCCTGGGCGCCTTCTGGGACGGAGGGCTCCATTTTTGAGTTCTCGGTATCCCTCCTGAGTCCCTCTTGGGCCCGTCTTGGGGCCTCTTGGTCCGTCTTGGGCGGCACTTGGGCCGTCTTGAGGGCTCTCTTGGGTCGTTTCGGCGCCGTCTTGGGAGCTTCGTGGGCCGTCTTGGAGCGGTCTTGGGGGCCTCTTGGGCCGTCTTGGAGCGTCCGGAAGCCGAAAAAGCCAGAACACAAAAAACATAGAAAAAACCAATGAAAATCAACGATTTTGGCCTCTTGGGGCTCTCTTCGGAGGCCTCTTGGAAGGCTCTTGGGGCGTCTTGGAGGCCTCTTGGGCTGTCTTGGGGGCCTTTTGGGCCGTCTTGGGGTCATCTTCGGCGTCTTCGAGCGCTCTTTGGGCGTCTCGGGGGCCTCTTGGGCAGTCTTGGGGGCCTCTTGGGGCACTCTGAGCGCGCTCTGGGGAGCCTGAGAGGCCGCACCCAGAAGGAAAACCATCTCTGAGTAGACTTGGTCGGGCGGCGGTCGGGCGGCGGTCGGGCGTTGGTCGGGGTACTTTTCGCCGGGGGACCCCCAGGGGCCGCCCCGCGCGCGCGAACTAGAAATACTGTTAATACTGTTAACCAGTTACCGGAGATCTTAGCACGCCCTGGCCCGTTGGGCCGGCGAATTTGTGTGTCCCCCGGCCCTTTTAAAGAGGGCCAGACGTCCAACCACCCAGATTCTCGATCCTCCCTCCTCCTCCTCCTCCTTCTCCTCCTCCTCGCGGGCCCTTTCCGCCTTCGCCGCCCTCCCTTCCCTCCTCTCTCCCCCGCGCCACCCGTGCCTTCTCGGTCCCCTACCGCTCGCTCCTCCTTGCGCCCGACCTTTGCTGCTTCAGGCGGCAGGGTGGAGAAGGGCCCAGCGACGACAAAACTCCCCCTCCCGCCAAACATGCGCTCAGGACGGGTCCCCAGACCACTCCTGGGCCCCACCCCTGGGTGGTCCCTCGTCTCAGACCAGTTTTCGACGGCCCCGGGGCCTGAAGCGGGATTGCAGGAGGCCGAAAAGGGCGAGAAACCTTTCCGCACCTCGTTGTCGTGGTCGTGGTCGTGGTCGTGGTCGTGGCCATGATCGTGGTCGTGGTGGTGGCCGTCGTCATCGTCGTCGTCGTCGTGGTGGTGGTCGTCGTGGTGGTGGTGGTGGTCGTCGTCGTCACCCTCACCCTCGTCGTCGTTGTCGTCGTCCGTCCTTCTCGTTTTCGTGGTCGTCGTCGTCGTGGTCGTCGTCGTCGTCCTTGTCGTTGTTGTCGTCATCGTCGTCGTCGTCCGTCCTTCTTGTCCTCCCCCTCGCCATACCTTCTCCTGCCCCTCCTCGGAGGATGGCGATGGTACCAAGGCCCGAAGCATTCAGGAGTCGGGCCAGGTCGAAGCTTGGAGCCAGAGTTCGCTTGGCGTAGGGTCGAGAAGACTGGCTCTCATCCATCCTTGAATCATTCGACAGGCTCAGGTGCCCCTAATGGGTAATAGTCAAAGAGTAGTAGTATTATTTTTGTTTTGTTTAGTAGTAGTAGTAGTAGTAGTAGTAGTAGTAGTAGTAGCAGTAGTAGTAGTAGTAGTAGTAGTGGTAGTAGTAGTGGTCGTAGTAGTGGCAGTAGTAGTAGTGGTAGTAGTAGTAGTAGTAGTAGTAGTAGTAGTAGTAGTAGTAGTAGTAGAAGTAGAAGTAGAAGTATAGG